GGGTGTCTCACAATGTGCTAATACGGATGAAGAACAAATTAGTTGTTCCGTGGAGTCCATGAAAAAATTTTGTTAAAGATCGTCTTTCAAGCAAATGTTCTTTATGCAACTGTATGATATGAGCATGAACCAATATAGACGAATGAGGGAAAAGGTTAGTATGCCCAGAAAAAAAAATAACTAAGTAAATTTAAACATCACATAGAATAAGAAGAATGAATCATATGCTTTTGATCAATTCTAAAAGGGAAGAGTGATGGCTCTATCTATAGGTTAGGCACTCTTAAGGTTCATTATATGTGGTTTAAGGTAAAAGTCTAAAGGTTCTTAAATTGCTCCTTACATCCTTGTCCATCACAGACTAGTAAGGCACCTTAATCCTCACCCATTACAAGCTACAAGCGAAAAAGGTTCAATTTAAGTGAGAGTATTTCACTAGCCACTGCGGAGGCATTAGACCTAACGAAAGCAATAGGTACTTTACTCCCTCTTAGAGGGACAGAGCTCAGGTATAGAGCTCATGTTATGCATATGCATATGAATGACATAATTAATAAATATGAATGAATAAAATATATACAAAAGGTTCAATTTTATTAAGCTTTTGGATAAACCAAATTTATTTGCTGGCCTGACTCTCAAAGTTTTCCCAGCGGAGTCATCAAGCTGTTATAACGTCTAAATCTAGGGATCTATCATTAGACATTGACTTAAGGAGTTACCACCAATCTTTTTATCTAGGTGTGATTGGCCACCTAAGGAATCTATCCTTTCGGGAGAACACCTAAGTTTAAGGGTCCCTAAAAGATTAGGTTCAGGTCTACTAACCAGAACAGGATTTGGGAGTTTGATTACGTGCGAGGAAGGTTATAGCACCCTCACAACGCCCATCAAAAGATGGTACCAGCTTAATTTTATGTTATCCAATAAGCCTTAAAAATTTATCAAGTAATTAGTTGTTAGAAATTATTCTCAATTGACTATAATACTTTTAGCAAAAAATTGAAAAAATCCCCTCACCTCAAGAGTATGCAAGAAAACTACTATTTCACTTACAGAGGCTCCATCGTCGGATTATTTAACATTAAAGGAAAATTCAAGAAAAAAAAAAATGATCACTTTTGTACAGGAAAAATTGATATTTTTAACTTCTCCCCAAAATATTTTTTTAGAAACTTTAATTTCGAGAAAAAATTGATACTTTCAACTTTTCTCAAAAAAAAAACTTTATTGAAAATTTATTTTTAAGGAAAATTGATACTTTCAACTTTTCTCCAAAAATATTTTTTGGAAACTTTAATTTCAAGAAAAATTGATACTTTCAACTTTTCCCCAAAAATATTTTTTGGAAACTTTAATTTCGAGAAAAATTGATACTTTCGAGAAAAATTAATACTTTCAACTTTTTCCAAAAAATATTTTTTTGGAAACTTTAATTTCGAGAAAAATTGATACTTTCAACTTTTCCTCAAAAAAATTCATTTTTGAAAACTTATTTTTAAGGAAAATTGATACTTTCAACTTTTTTCTAAAAATATTTTTTAGAGAGCTTATTTTCAAAGAAAATTGATACTTTCAACTTTCCTCAAAAATATTTTTTTTTAGAAAGCTTATTTTCAAGAAAAATTGATACTTTTAACTTTTCCTTAAAAATATTTTCTTTAAAAAGCTTATTTTCAAGGAAAATTGATACTTTCAACTTTTCCTCAAAAAAAATTTTTTTTGAATTTTATTTAAAGAAAATAAGATAAAAATAATAAAAATAAAATAAAAAATATTAAACAAGTATAATCTAATAAATAAATAATAATAATAATATATATATATAAAAAATTAAAAAAAATTAAAAATGGCTCAACTAATGGCTCGGCTCGGTTCGGCTCGACTAATGGCTCGCACTCGGGTTCAACGCGAGTCGAAAACGGATCGACGCTCGGGTTGGGTCGGATCTTGACAAAACGCACGGATCCTCTGGGTTACTAACGTAAAAACGACGACGTTTTGGGGAAGGTATATAAGGCTGAAGGTCAGCTTTTTTTCTCAGAATCCTCATTTCCTTTCTCTCTCTTCCTTCTCTCTAAAATCCCGAAGAACTAGGGTTGAATGTCCATCGGATTCTGAAAATTTTCGTCAGAATCTGAGTTTTTCATCAAAAGTTCACCGAAAAATTGATCGATTTCTGAAAATGGTTGCCAGAAACTAGGAAGTTGATCGAAAAATTCAAACTTGGCTGGAATAGTCGTCAAAAAATTTAATCTTCGTCGAAAAATTCAACCAAAATCTAAAAATTTTCCAAAAATTTCCACAAAAAATTCATAAAAAAATTCTCTAAAAATTTCCCACCAATTCCTAAAGCTATTCTAACGTACCAAAACCTTTTTAAGCTTCTGTTTCTTCACTGTGTACTCTTTCTCAGTCAATGTCTACTTTTTTTCTCCTTGTTCATCCATTTGATCCGTGGGTCTATTTATAGGGATTGATCAGAAGAGTTTCTGATCAATCCCAACTATTCTTTGGATTGGACTCAATCATTGAATCCAATATGGACTCTGATTGAATTCTATTCACGATAGGAGTCTCAAAAATCCAATTCCAGCCAAAAAAGAAAAGAAAAAAATATTAATAGATAATTAAAAAAATAATCATATATATCAAAATATTAACAGATAAATAAAAATAATAATAGATAACTTATAATAGATAAATAGATAAATAATAATAAATATATAACTAGATAAATAAAATATATATAAATATTAACAAATAATAATAATAAATATATTAATAAATAGTAATAAATGAATAATAAGTACATAAGATATAAAGGAAAAAATAAAATAAATAAAATAATAATAATAATAAAATATAAAATACAAAAAAATAAAGTGGGCATATCCATTTGGACCAGACCTAATTGATCCGAACCTGAATCAAATTGAGTGTCTACAATCTTGAATTTAAAAAAAGAACTTGCATTTAAAAAAACTTTAAGAAAAACAATCTTTTTATGACTAATCTGTTACCAAAAGTAAATCTAAAAGGGGCTGGCAAGGGCTTTAACCCCTCTTGGTTTCTTAAAATCACTTTAAGATAAGTATATTTTCATTCCAAAAAATGTTAAAATCATATTTTACCCCTTCAAAATTAATAATTTGGCCCTTCCTTTAAAAATAATTGTAATGATATGGTTAATTTCATAAGTTGTTGAAAATTTTATTTGTAGATGCAATAAATAATTAGATTTTCTTTCTTTTTTCAATAAAACATTTCTCTTTTTTTTATGTAATCATTATTGTTTCATTGAATTTTTTAGTTCTTTAAAATGAAAATTTCTTTTCAATTAATTAAACAAATATTAAAATGAAAAAAAAAATTCAATTAATTAAACAAGCATGTTGACATTAATTATTATTTCAAAATATTTTTTTATATAGACAAAAAAATACAATTAAAAAATTTAACTACCTATATATTGTGCATATAAAATTACAAATTTAATTGTACATTATAAATTTTTTTTTTATTTTTACCGAACTTTTCATTTCTAAAACTCAAACGTTTAATGTATTATTTTTATTCCTTATTTTTTTCAAAAAATTATTAGTTAGGTTTTAATTGATCTTTAAATATTCAAAAATTTTCTTTTAATTATGAAAAGAAATTTATACTTTTTTATTTAATTACATTATTATTTTATTTAACACTAATTTTCTTTATTAAATTTTCATTAATTCACCTTACTTTTTATCGACTCTCCAAAGTAAAATACCTTGCTTCGCCCTATCTGTCACCTTAATCAAACTAATGAAAACTTAGAAAATATAGAAATCCACAAGAAAGAAATAGAGAGGAATGGGAAAAGAATTAAGTGTTTTGCAAGGAAGAAAGCCAACTTATTTATAGGCATAAATTTGGTCAAAGGGGATTAAAATTACAAAGTCTGTTTACGATTCAAACTCTTAAAAGATTAAACTCTATCTTAATTTTGTAGTTTGACCAATCATGTAGTATTCAATTGTGGAATGCATTGGCGAATGGGGTTTCTTGATTGGTCTTCATTGCACATGTGTCATGCCTTATCATCATCTTGTAATCTTGATAAGAATTTCGGCTAAGCTTTGCATATCCAAGAGCAAGCTTCTTAATGTGGCTGCATTTAGTTCAAACTCTTGAGATAAATCTTCAAAAATCTTTTTTGAATAAAAAAATCTAGTTTTTATCTCTTATAAATTATTTATCTTACATTTAAATTTTTTAAAAGTGATTAAAAAGTTCTTTTTTCAATAAAATCTCTTCTTGACTTAATGGATGTAAGAGTTTTTGTTCAAGTAAAATTCTTTATTAGTTGAATGCTTGTATGATTCTTATTATTAATTGGATTTGGCTAACTCTCTTCTTGCATGACTGAATACTATTTAGATTAAAAATAGTTTACTCTTACACGAAACTGCATGACCTTGTATGATATTCACGTCTCATATGAAATAAATATTAAAAATAAAAAATTCATATCAAATTCAAGCAAATTTAAAAAATTTTGTAAAATATTATAAATTTAACTTCTATAAATAACTGACTTTTAGGAATGCCGTACTTTGTTATCTGACCCTTGGATGTGGTTTGCTGGGGATGCTGAATGAAGGTCCTAATTGAGTTCTCCGTGGGGAATTTGAGTTAAAAATACACACTTGGACAAGTTGAAATGTTTGGTGCTGGTGAGGGTGCGCAATTAAAGCGGTGCAGATGGCGGATTTAGTACAGCCATTGGATTGGCAACATATCACTTTCAACATTAAAACAACCACCCGAACACCCCGCCCTTCCCAACCCGCCCTTCCCAAAAATAAATAAAAAAATAAACGTCAAGGTAGATTTATAAGTGAAATTAACACATACAGATTACAAAATATACACACACACACAGATATATATATAGCAATTTCCTAATTTCGAAGTTAAAAGAGTAACTGTCAAATTAACTGGCGGGAAAAATTTTTGCTGCTTCAAAAAATAATATAGCAAATGAAATTAAGGTCTGCTTTTGTTTAACAGAACGTTATAAACATGCCTTTAATAGAGCCAATAGTCAATACATTGCGTTTCTTATTGTATAAACCTATTTAGAAGTCGTAGTGCCGCTTATGGGCAAAGATGTGAAGTTTCAATCATATTAACAAATGAAAATTTAACTAGTCAAGATACAATAATATAATTCAAATTAAACACTAAAGTTGCTTTGCAGAAAAATCTGAAACAAAAAAGCTCCTCCAGCTTCCACGAGATTGCAGCCAATCTGTTTTTATAAGAAACTAATACCTATCCCACAAAAGCTAAAGGAGTTAGCGAGATCCACTCATTGGCACAGCACGGCTTGTATTGGCATCACCGATTGAAACAGTGGCAAGGGATTTAGACGCCCATGCTCTAGCATTCATTGCGCCTTGCAAGTTGCTTCTCTTGCAAGGTTCTTTCAGGGAATTAAACAACTGAATTGCTCGTTTCAGATAGGCCACAGGATGTTCCAACAAACTCCCCAACTTCACATTTCGAATGAGCCGTCTCAGAGTGAACTGAGATAATACAAGCAAAGTTGGATAAAATAGGTAAAGCAACCTAAAAACCACAAAAGTGGTGGCCAGTGCCAAATAGGTCTCTTGTCGAAATAAATTCTCTGGAGATCTTGCCCATGAGAATGGGCAGCTTTCCTGCTCAGTGCTATTATGCTCCTCATTATTTGACAAGTGTCCAATTTTGTCCACTGATGTTTTATCCGGAGATTTGTTCTTAATGCCTAGAGCAATGTAAAACATTTTCATTAGAAAATTAAAGAAGAGCAATAAGAATAACAAAAGGAACAACAAAAAATACCGTTCAGATAAATGGCAAAGCAAAGAGGTTAGGAATGCTTTTTTCAGCCTCCAGATGTAGAATACTAATAAACACCATCACACTTTTCTTTTCACTCAAGCTCTCTATCTTGGAAGTGAAAGCATCACAAATAACATTACTTGGTTAGGGAAAGGATTGCATTTTCAGTTGGGAAGCAAACGGGAGGTAAGGGATTGTAAATTCATTAAAGCCCATTGCAGGAAAGAAAAAAACTCCTTAAGGTTCTGTTTACTTTGGTATGTAGGATCACAGATAGTATCAATATCCAACAATATCACAGATGGTACCTATAATAGGATCACAGATATTGTAATAGGGTAATACAAGACTGATGAGTTAATTGTCTTCATTTAACTTATTTTATCTCATTTTGCATCATCCTATACATGTAGGATTATACAATCTTATGAAGAAAAGTAGGACTGCAATATCGCACATGGATAAGATTATCTGGGATGAGATGGGTACATTTTAGCCTTTACATACACTAAAAGCAAGAAAAAAAATGAAGATGGTTTACTGTTCAAAACTGTCTTATCACTCTTATCCCATTGATCCATAATCTTGTGCACAAACACAACCAAATGCATGATAAATTGAGCACCAGAGACAGGTTAATCACAACTCACTGGCTAGGACCAGAAAGAATAATGAACAAAAAAAAAAATAACGAAGCAGAGAATGAAGAATGAAAAAATACATATAAAAGTATGCCAATAGCCAAAACATACTACTAAATAAATCAACTCAACATAATATACAGTCACAAAAAAGTAGCAAAACAAAGGCCTTACCAGTTACATCACTATAGAATGCACCAAGAGATTCGAAAGACCGGTTTCCATGATAGCGCACACGCATCATAGAATTTAAAAGGAAAAGTGTAGGAAACCCATGAACTCCATACTTCGAGAGTATGCTGCAGAAATCAACACCACCACTAATTAGTTTAACAAGATATATATTCATAGCACACAAATACCAAATGACAGATATTCATTTGCAAACCTTGGCCTGACAGCTGATTCTTCGATGGCAAAATGAGGAATGGAAGGATAGGAAGAAGAAAGGATAGAGAAGCTTGGTCTAAAAGACCTTGAAAAGGGGCACCAAGATGCATAGAAAAGCACAGCTACATATTCATGACTATTCTTGTGAACCATGTTAAGTGCCTTTTGCAATGAAACCTCATCTCCCTTCACAGCAACAAAGAGAAGTATAATTAAAAATTGTACAAAGAAAAAGTACAATCAGAATTCAATGCAAACCTAACGAGGACTTAATTTCAGAAATACTAAATGGTTTCATAGAAATAAATAAATAAAAATGAAATTTAATGGTAGGCATATCTCCATTTCCACCAGGATCAAAGATTATTAACAACTTATATAGCCAATTTCTATCAAAATGCAGAATTTTGAGCGAATAAATAAAATAAGAAAAAATCAATAAAGATATTTCTCAGCTCAATTTTCTATATCTAAAGCAACGTTTACTCTGACAAGCGGCCAAAAATGAAAGACCCAAATAAAATAACTTTAACTAAAAATTTTCTAAACCTAGTTCAAAATAGACACAATATAGCATCAAATCAGCAAATAAAGAGATTTTTTTTTTTACCCGCATAGATGGGATAAAATGAATAAATTTTGGAAGGGGAAAAGAACCAGATTAAAGGAAAAAAATCTCAAGGTACCTCGGCAACACCAACGAAATCGATAGATTCACTAAAATCAGAGTGAATGGGACAATAGGAGTGTAGAAAGTCAAAGATCGCGTCGGAAACGGAGACCTTGGGACATAAAGGAATCCTTAGGGGAACGGAGATGGCGCATGTTAGCTTCCACCATAAAAGCAATATTAGGATCCTCGTTAGCCATGCCTTCGAATCCATCAACGACCGACAACGGATTGCCGATTCACACAAATTACAAAAAGAAAAAGGACTAGCCAATTAAACCCTAAAAAGGGAATTGAGATATGGAAACGGAAAAGGAGAAAGTAGGGAGGAAAAGTGGTTGCATTTTAACAGAGAAATAACTCGTCATGTTTTTTCTTTTCTTTTTTTTTTTTTTGGTTTCTTTTGGGGGCTATTTTAATTAGGAAGGAACAAAGTAGGTCGGACAGAGTTGAAGCGAAAGCAGGTTTTTGGCCACAGATAAAGTACAGTACTGCAATTTATTTTACATTTAAGAAGTAAAATCTGGTGTTCGGAAAACGGGAGGAAGGAAAGAGGAAAGAGATGATGGAATATGGGATAGGGGGACGATGATGATTTGATGATAGCATAATCACGAAGTTGCGCCACGACGCTACTTTCTTTCCTTTTTTTTTTTAATTTTTTAAATTGGCACTTTTTCTCGGCCAATGGTTGAACAAAGAGGTAATTATAAATTATTTTTTATTGACAAGCAAAAATTTACTGTTGACTTCTCATTTTTATTTCTACTTCCTCTTTCAATTTTACGTCTTTCGGGCAATCCAAAATTGCGAAGAAGCCTTTTTTTTTTTTTGGGGGGGGGGTGTGGGCGTTAAAATTTCAATTCTCCTTAACACGCATTTCATGCTACCAATATCAATATTTATTTTCTTTTTTTTTTTTAGAAAAGAGTCAAATTATTTACAACTAAAAGAGTACATACATTTTACCAGTCAGACATCATATCAAGGAACAGAAAGTAATACCAACGGTTTTGAAACAACTTACGTCGCCTACTCCATGTTAACATTGCGCAGAAAAGAACATGACATACAAGGTTCCTGCTATTATCTTTAGTTATAGCTTTCTTTACTTCCCTTGAATTGCTACATACTATGAAAAGCTCTATCATGAAGACAATTACAATACCATCAAGTTTTTGACAACTAGTCTTAGAAGAATATGATCAAGAGGCCACTAGTTTAGACTTTTAACACACCAAATGGTAGTAAAATGGAGAAGAAATTGGGAGGGAACGTAGATCGTGTCATATATAATACAAATGAGCCAAGCCCCAAGCAGCACACTCTCAAAAAATAATCTCGCTGCACCAAACATTTCAAAATGTGTAAAAGCTAAGGTCATACATCCCGGTTAATGCCCAAGTCAGTATGAAAATGCTTTCTTGATTCTTTCTTACGCTGGAGATAAAGAAACCACACAAGATCCTCAAAAATCAATGTCAACAGAACTGATGAGGAGATCACCTGGAACAAGGGAGAAAGATCTGGCGGTGAGAACGCAAAAGAAAGTCTTACCAGAACTGCAAACTCTGCCTCATGCAATGTCACCAGCCGATAATGTGATTGAACCCGTCAGCAGACCAATACTGCCTTCCATCTCGTTTCAGCTTGTGTCTGCAAAAGATGTGGAAGCCATTATCTTACCTATATGGTTATTGTCTACCATTTTTAAGGAGTGTTGTCTATTTTTCTCTCATTAGGGTTTAGGAGTATCAAGGTTGAGAGGGAAGGCAAAATTTTATAGACTGTTGATGAACAGAAGCAAACAATAAAAAGAGGCTGCCATTCATTTCTTTTTTCATGCTTTCATAATAATAGGTAAGTGTACATAGACACTAAAAAACCTGCACATAGAGAAAGCCTTGAACCAAATTCTAAAGCATTCGACCTGTCCATTTGATCAAAAATGACTTGACCCTTTCAAGGCAGAATTCCCGTTCAGTATCTTGCATGAGTGCGAATCACATCATATGAAAGGAAAGGGCCAAAGCACATGATGGGTGAAAGCAAATACATAATGTCAGATTTAGAATTCTTAAATGCTCCAAAATCACAGACAAGTAGCTTTCACAAAATTATATAGGAGAATACAGTAAACTTTTGATATTTTAATCAGGCACAGCAGGTTGTATCCAGTTTTGATAGGTTAATATTTAAAAATTATACTATCCATTAAACTATAGCCCAGCCCATGCTTCAAAACAAGCTTGAATGACCTTAACTAGGACAAATCCCACTAAAGACGCTGACCGCTCTCACAAGGTTTATTCCCTTACAACATTTTGAGCGGGAAAAAAAGGAACAGCACAGACATTATTAGTTGTATTCCAGAATAAAAATTCTAATGTTAATATATGTGATCATTTCCATTGACCATGTTGGGTTAAAATATTTAGCCCGAAGCAACTTGAACTATATCACATTGAGCTAGGAACTATATCAAATGGTTCTAACATTTGAAATGTCCTTCAGAAAATAGGACATATCAATCAAATTAGTGCAATCATGAAAACTTGGCTTATATGCAGAAAATAATACGCTTGCTTGGATGTGGAAGTTACCTTAAATCACAGATCTTAGAAATCACACATGCAAGAAGCAGTCCCTCATACAGGCTGGTGTGCTTGCAGACATGCTATTCTACATAAAATCATGGTTCCTAGAGAACCTAGCCTGACAGCTGGCACACATAACCATTGAGCTTCTTTGTGCCCCATTGTCAACAGCCTCATGATAAAACTCATTTCCACACCAGGAACAAGAGGTAGTGACCTGATGTCTGTCAGCTATCTTAGGAAATAGCGGCAAAGCTTCCTTTTCAAGCCAAACAGAGGAATCAAATTTCAGTTCCATCTCTGAATCATATGATGATACCTTGGAATTTCCTGAATGGGAACTTGGTTGAGCAGTCAGAAAATTATATTCCATATTTTCTATGCTATCTGATCTCAGCCCTTCAAAACCTGTAACAGTGCTGCACTTCCCACTAACGTCGAACATTTCACTTTCACCCTGTCCATTACAACAAAATCATACATGTCAAATTCTTTTAACTCAAAACTAACAATAATTCGTTTTCATTATTTTTTTTATTTAAAAGCTAAACTTAGTTGGCAAAAATAAGATCAGCTATCACTTTGGTTTCTATGGGGAAGCAGGACGTCTATCATCAGACCTTTACTTCCCCTAAGTTAAAAGCTCAATATCCCACATGTGGAAAAACTAGCTTCTAAACATAACAAACAATCCTTGACATTGATATCATATAGTTTTGCCAAGTGCAATAACAGTTTTACACTTTCCTGCATTATGTCATAGCTTGTAAGAGTGAACATGTCTTTACCTTATGTGACATTAGGTTGAATGTGGGGTAATAACCAGATGTTTGCAACAATTGAGATGAAGTATCAGCCAAGCCACTCAGCAGGGCATTTCCTTCATCACTTTTCCATGTGAGTTCAGTCATGGAATCCTCAGAAGGTCGGGCATGATTGCTAAAACCAACCATTGTTTCATTATTCCTTGCATTTTCAAAATCCTCTGACCTGGACCCATCATGATCTGTGCCACCATAAACCATGTTCAAATTATTTGCAGCATGTGTTTGCTCTCTATCAGATAGACAGAAGAAGTCCTCGAAAGCACCTTTATTATTTTTACTGGCAAATTTCTCACCATTCCCAGGAAAAAGTGGGGAACAACTGTCCTGCCCATTGCCTGTCAGAGAAAATGTGCCTAGTCTGGCATGAGCATTGCCAAACAAGGAGCTTTCCATTTTGTGTTTGGGCTCCTCTATCGCAATGAAAGAAACTTCATCCATACTAGTTTCATAGTTACTGTTTTGCTGATAAGCAGATTGTTCATTTACACTGCTCTCATAACCTTTATCCTTATGCTCCTCCAGTGTGCCAGTAAATGTTTTTTTATATGAAGATCGAACGAATAGACAATCTTTAGTCCTTTCATGCTTGACACTAGCCAGGATGTTAGCATCCAATCCATTGTCACGGCCGTACACACCTTGAATTAATCCACTAGACTTTTGGTCTTCATCAAGTTCAGACACCGCAAAGGTCTGGCTAGAGACCTTAAATGCATTATTGTCAGAAGCAAAGATTTGCCCCCTTCCATGTAAAGTTAGAAAGGCACTTTCGCTGTCCTCTTGTGAGGGTTTCTTGATTCGGAGCTTGCTTTTAAAACCAATTGTAGAGTTATTATTCCCAGATTCACTGACCACAATAGATTCTGGATCATCCAATGTGCCAGTGGAGACAAGAATCAAATTATGGTTGATGTCACATGTTTGGTCATCTTTAGATGAAGTTAAACCATATCCACAACCTCTTTCCTGTGCAGAATCCATTCTAACAGAAGCTCCCTTCATGTAATCTACGAGATTACCTCTCTGTTTGTTGCTAGAAAGAGTAAGTGAACAGCCTTCAAAGTAATTTTGCTGCTCGACATCAATTGTGATATTATCTGGCCCTGAATGAGTATTGGCACAACCAGCTTTTGGATCAACCCTCATAACTTTATCCTTCCAATCAGTTTCTATCCCTTTCATCAACCTAGCAAAATATCTATTGTCAATATTTTCATTACTAAACATATTTCCCTCGGCATTTGGAGCAAGCAAACTGCTTTTTAAAGCCATCTCTCTCTTCTTCTCCTCCATTGAGTTAAGAGAAAATCGAACATCTGTTTTATCTGAAGATTGAAAAATCCCTTTTTTGTCAGCAGTAAACAAGACTTTTTCAGAACTCAAACAACCATTAAGTTCAGCAGCAGCAGCAGTAGTACCAGTGATCTCCCCTTTGTTATTAGTTATGATACAGAACTTATTTTGTTTATCTGATTTTATTTCGTTGTTGCCAGGGGAATTGAAAGGCTGATAGCTGTTTTGTACAGTTAACACTGCAACTGAACCTTCAACTTTCTCCATATTGTTCTTCACATGAATCCCAAGATGACCACTATAGCAATTCCTTTCTTCAAATAATTCATGACAAAACTGGCACTCATATTTTCCATTTTTGATTATAACCTCCTCATTAGTTGAGGCACTATGTCCACAACTCTCTGCTGTCCCTTGGTGAGATGATAACAGGTGGCATATAAAATCATCTTGCTGATTAAAAGTGATGGTACATTTGTGGCATTTTATTGTTTCAGCTCTCTGGACTTCCCTTGGACTCCCTGTTCTTAGTGAAGGAGCTCGCATGTCATGTCCAGAAGATATAGATGTAACAGGCAACTGTGGACAGCATTTAACATTCTTGTCATCGACAAGTATAATAAGATGGAGATGAACTGTAACAGATAAATACAAACACAGTCAATAACTTACATTTCCAGGTGTTGGTTTGACAACAGAACCAATGCCACAGCCAGTGTGACTCAAAGTTGCCAGGCTTGAATCTTTAAGTCCCCCAGAGGAAAGCAAGTATGAAGAAACCTCCTTGCAGGACACAAATCGTTGCCCATTAGGGCTGGATAGTACCAAATTAGGGAAGAGAGTGTGAGAATGAAACAACCAACAAAGTTTTAAAAAAATGCAAAACAAACATTAAAATCAATAAACTTCTAGAATCCCACCTCCTCTGGTCTCTATCTCTTATCTTTTCTTTCCTTTTTTTTATATTTTTGGTTTAGGAGGGGAGGGAGGAGAAGGACCGGGCTAAGGAAATATAGCACTGGGAAAAATTCAAAATCCAACGTATCATGAAATAACTGCTAAACTACAAACATAGACAAACTTACAGACAATGAACATTTGAATATTAATATAGTACAAGCTAGAAACGTCAAAGACATATCTAGTTTATCTGAAGCAACAAATAAATCCAATGACTGGGGTCCGACTTTATCAATTTCCTTTTTGGTTAATCAGTTTCCAAGTGAAAGTGCTCTAGCATCTCTCTAACTTGGTTTTGGGTTTATTCAACACCTAATCTGAGAACCAAAACCAGTAAGCAATTATATGCTACTCTATAGTCTATACACTCAATAGTATTACATAAAAATTTACACAAGAATATTATATAAAACTAACCCGAAAAATTGATAAAACAATTTATATTTCAGTGCTGGCTCTAGAATCTAGATTATTTTCTACAACAGAAACCAGAGAATGAAATTTTCAATTAAAAAAAAAAAAAAGCTGGACAGAACCAACATCACTGATAGGCATACTATGATTCATGCATAACATCACATATATCATATTTCACACATTGTAAATAGCATTAGTATATAATCTACACATTATGGTTAACAAGAGTATTAAAATGAAGAAAGAATAAAAACTTAATGATTAACCTTATATATCGGCTACAAGCTAACCAAAAATGGTTGGTTCTCTTCTTCACAAAGAGCATAAGCTTCCACCCTTTAGGAAGCACACTCCCAAAACTACCCGCATCGATAATCCTCTTCTTTTGTCTTTTACTCGCCCATTCCCCCTCTAACCCACTCATAAACTCCAACAATTCCGCCTCTGTACCCATCCCCTCCGTCCTCCTCCTCAACTCCTCTTCAATTCCCAAAATCGCCTCCACATTCCCCAATGCTACCCTCTCAATTTCGCTCTCAACTTTCTTTTCCTCGCTCCCAATCACTCTACTTTGACTCTCCTCCCTTCGAGGCCGCCCTCTCCTCCTCTTCCCTTCACTACAACTGCTAATATTACCGGAATTTGCCGTCTCATTTACCCTATCAAAGGCTTCCGTTTCTTTATATTCCTCCATTACTAAACTCTCGCTCTCAATCAACCAATTATCTTTCTCGTCCTTCCTCGGCCTCCCTCGCTTCCTTTTTCTTACACTACTACTGACAATGCCGACCGGAATATTCTGCAAAACCAAATTCTCTTTTGGATATTCTATTTGAACCGGCACAAGATCCTTATCATCGTACGGTTCGTTTTCGTTGGTGTTAGCAGTGAGCGAATCATCGATGTTGAAAAGAGATTTTAGTAGAGAGAGGATGTTAGAGCTTTCTTCGTCAAGAGGTTCGGGGTCTAGGAGTAGAGGACGAGAAAGGAGGGGTTTGGAGGAAGGAGAGGAATGGTGATGGTGTAGGTGGCTGCGGGGGGCAGCGAGGCGGAGGCGGGAGAAGGTCTGTTTGCGACTGCCGGCGGATTCGTTGAAAACGGAGCGGTCAATTTTGGGAGTGAAGAGCTCGGTTTCGGCATTGGAAGGAGAAGGAGAGGAGGAGCATACAGAGAGGGAGAGGAGATCGGGTTGGGAGAGTAGGCGTAGATCTACGACAGGGATAGATTCGAGGTAGAGGTCGTTGTGGTGGTGATGGCAGTGGTCGACGGTGGTGGAGGCCATCAAAAAGAGAAAAAAAACGATTCTAAAAAAGCGGAAGAGATCTGGATGTAACTGATCGAGAAAAATCGAAGCATTGGGATTTAGAGATAGGGATTTGATTTAATTACCCCATTGACTTGTGTTCTTCAATGCAACTTGAGACACCTAGTGTTGCCACGTCGATATTCAAGGAAAAAAACGGGCTGGTTCGGATCTAACTGGGTTTACTAAGCCCAATTTTGGCCCGTCTTTAACTTCGATTGGGTCAATTCTTACCAGAAGCTATTAGTTTGGGCTCGTTGATGTTTCTGCCGAAGTCCATTTTCAATTGTCCGAGAGCTCAAGTGACACTTAATTCCCAATATTTTATAAGCAAATTAATTCATTAATGAATTTGGGGCTTAACTAAGATCATTTCGTCATTCTTTAAAAGTTGTATCAAGCAGATTTGGATTTTAAATTTCATTAGTAACAACCTTTTTTTTCTATTCCAAAAATGTGACTTTATAAAAAAAAATTAAATCATTTACTTTAGCCAATGAGCTTTGACTCAAATGGCACCCAATGAAGAGTTAAGGGCGCTACAAAGAATTATTGCTCCGGTTGAGATATAACATTCTCTTCTAACATGTAAGTAACTTTAGAAAAAAAAAAAAAAAAAAAGGAGAATTTATGTGCTAAATTTTTCTAATACAAGTAAAACCACCAGCTCAAACCAACACGAGAGGTTGGTTTTCGGTCCACGGCAGGGAGATTCAGAACCCAATTTTACCTGTAAATGCTTTTAAAGCACCTTTTGACCTTTTAACTTTGGTTTGAATAAACAAACTGATTCTTGTGCCTGTATGTTTCTTTGTAAGAAAGATTTTGTTGCACCTGATATAGCTTGGCCAAAAACCCAAAATTTTGAGAGAATTATTTTGCTGTATCTTTTGCATGAAACTAAACCAATAAATCTACTCTTGATTTGTCCATAATCGATTATTGTTTTTCTTTTTGGGAAATATTGGAGATCAGCAGATATTGTTCTAACAGTTGGGGGATGTGATAGTTGAAGCAATTATATCCAGGAAGTAGCAGAGAAGTAGATCAATAGCATCTGATAACCATTTGCATGTCATATCAGACATTTTTTTTCAGACAAGAGTTAGTTTTTCTTCTTTTACTGCTTTCACCAAACAAGATATTGACTCTGTTGCTTCAAATGACAAAATATTGACGAAAAATTGTGTGATTCTTGGAATTGGAAGATATCTCTCCTGGAACAGCTTGGAGTGTTATGGGAGAAGCCGATGTTATTTTCCAAGTTAGCAAATAAGATTAATTTTAACTCTCGTTTGAGATGTTATTGCGGAATGTTTTGACCCATCCACTTGTTAAATATCTAAAACTTGGCTGATCCTATCATCCTAGACCAATGGCGAATTACAAAAATAAAGAGATTCTGGAAAGACAACTTACTACCAGGAGCAGGTGAATAAACTAGAAAAGTGTTGAAAGCCTGAAACTTCCACGGTCCTTCACCGTCTTCAGGATTTATTGATCCCAGGGTAATTTGATGACTGAATGTCAAGAATCATGGTTGATAGGATGAGTGAGCGGTGACAATGGCAATCATAATCAATTTATTGATCCTTTTATGCTGATTTCGTGCTTCACAAAATTTGCGAAATTTTAGAGATTTAGAACCAAAAGGCAGCACGTCAGTTAGCGACTTAAAGCAAGTCAGAGAAGGAAATAGAGAGAAAAGAGGCCTCAAAATTGGGCTCACAATTTGGCGGCGTTCATCCACATGAAAACTGAAATCAGAAATCACGATGGAAAAGGGTCTCAACACTAATTTTAAATGTTAATCTTATTCATGATAATTTTTTCTATCTCACGAGTTCGGATAGATATTATATTATAAGGATAAATATAATTTTAAATTTTTATTAAATATAAAAATAAAGACAAATAATATATCATTGATTTTGTATTCATATCTTTTATATATTTAAATATATTTAGTAAATTAATTTTTTATTAAATAATATAAATTATTATTTTAGATTAATTAAAATTAATATATTTTTATTAAAAATGTATTAATATATATTTATAAAAAATTATATAAATATACAAGAAAAAAATATAAAAAATAAAAAAATAATTTTTATTTTTATTTTAAAAAAATTACAAATATAAAAATTATTCATACCCATCAAATACTCTAAAAATAAAAATAAATAAATTTAAAATATTTATTGGATATAATTATAGAAATGAATATAATATAAAATTTTAAAAATAAAAATATAAAATATTTTAATCTCCTCATATCCTACTCATCAATATCCCTCATAACCGCAGTCTACGGTAGCATCTACGGCCGACTAACTGAATAAAGAATTTTATATTGACATAACTTGTAAAACGATTAGCTTTTGTTGAGAGAGGCAAGGCAAGGATTTAAGTTTGGGTGCCTAATGTTTAACCTGTTCAATTCATCTACCCTCAAAGTTAAATCAATTATACCTGATCATCAAGTCAATCCTTAAATTACCAATGTCAACTCTGATTAACTATGTGATCGTTAAAACTTGATAACTAACCATCTATCCACTTATCGAAACAATACTTTCTCATACTACAAAAGGTAGAGTTGAAACACAGACCCATCATTTTAACCCATTGAATTACTCTCAAATTCTTTGGTTTTGCCTTCTTTACTTTATCTTCTCTGACAAGTTAACTATCAGAACAAGTCCCAAAATCTTATTTTCAACACCCCTAATCAATTTTTGTCTTAGAAATTAACTCCTAAATAACCTTTCAGTAAAGCATTCAATCATTGCTTTCAAAAATGTCGACAACAATTTTAAATACTATTAATTGAATGATTTTTTTATACGAGTTTGAGTATAATCAGTAAAACTTCACATTTATTTTTTATCCTGATCAAATATTTTTTATTTTACGATGAAGAGTTGACACAACAGCAAATTTTTATTCTTTAATGAAAAGTTGACTTTGTTGTGGGCGATTTGGTAATCAGCACGTTTGGGAAGCAAAAGCTTTCGTCTTAAAAGAATTCAAGGAAACAAAGATTTATTTGCCGACATGACGAAAATTCACATAAATTATTTAGTAGGAGAAATCTACGAAAGCTACTAAAGCCAAAAATCACCGATGACCGAACCGAGGCAGCAAAGACAGAGAGAGAGAGAGAGGAGTCCCATGAAATCCTTCAACCGTACGTTATAACATCAAATCTTGTACGACATGACAGCTAACTGCAAATCTCTAATTTCCCAGAAATAAAAAGACTAAAGACTCTTCAGGATCACCACTTTCATCTAATAACAAACCCGTCTTTTCCCACACGAAAAAGCTAAAGAACAGATCCAACGGTGCGCATAATTTTGATAAATTTTTTAATGAAAAAGCTCCCGTCATATCACAGGAAAAAGGTGGGGACAGGAAAATTCAGAAGCATGTGGCATTAACGAAGATTTGTAAACCCCACACCCACTGGAAAAATATTCCTGAATGGCTAAATGGCAATAGGAGAGAATGACAAATCAAAGGTGAAATTATTTTTTTACTTTGTTTGTTATAAGTGAAATGGTAGGCTGAGGTTCCTTTCCGTTACATCGTGTTGCATGCGCATATGTTGTTTTACTATATATATTTTTTAAGTCTCTACCTATTTCCAGTAACTTCCTTCCAAGACTTGCAATTTTCATCCTGCTGCCACATCTGATTATCACCCTTCACCACCTCTACCTTCCTCTCAAGTATCTGTTGCTCCTTTATAAGATCTAAAGCTTGGAAAATTTCTGTCAACCAAGAAACAAGTTTTAGAGAGAAGTTATTTGATCAACAACCTGGCGGAGTTCAGCTTCAGCAGGTTAGTTTCTACTTCCAATCTGTTTTGTTCTTATGTTCCTTATATGTGCCGGAAACTTTATTTGCATTCAAGATCCAAGTTTTTGTTCAGAATCTTGAGTGAAAGAAGTTGTCTTTGGGTGTTTAATTCTTTTTTTTTTTCAATGGGGTTAATTTGATTTGACTTGTTTGTCATGAGAGAGAGAGACAGAGACAGAGACAGAGTTTATGCATAATGCATTTGATGTATTGTGAAATAATGAGAACTTGGAAATGTCTTCTGTGAGATTCCCTCGTTTGTTTGAAGAAAGACGATAAAGTTTTAGCTTCTCTTAATGGGGTTTTGGGATTATCTAATTCTTTGGCCAGACATGTTTGCTCAAATTAAGTGTGAAAAATTTCTTACCTTGAAGGAGCTCTGGAGTTTTGTTCACTGGTTGGCTCTGTTCTTGTGAATAAACAGAAGTTTTAAAGAAGGTTTCGGTGAAGCTTCTGGAGAGAAGCCGGGCATACAACTGTGGCGGACAATCCAGTAAGACCTTGTCAGGCCGGCTAAGGCATTGGCCCTTTCATCTCCGATGTTCATTCGCCTTACAATTGTACACGGTCATTGGTTTGGTGCCCTTCCTATTGATTATGGCTAACTTTGGATCAATCATTCTCCCATGTGATCTTTTCAACTCAAATTTCACTGTTAAAGCGTAATTAAGAATTGGGTAGAGATACGAGCATCACTAAACTAAGTTCGAGAAGAGGAATAGTATAAGGGAGGGAAAAACGAAATAAACAGTGCATCTATTCAGTCTTCTTTGAGAGTTGGAATCATTCACCTTTGTCAAATGGAAAAATTCAATTGCTTCTCTTTATTGACCAGGAGGAAAAAGAAAGATAAGGTGAGAAGGGTTATAATTTACATATTAGTTCAATTCTGTGTACCTAGTGATTTCCGGCCTCATCTTCTTCAATCTGTTTATTTGTAGGGGGATGGTGCATCTTCAAAAGCTGGTGAACAAAAGAAAGGGGTTAGAACCCTCCAAATTAAGCTCGAAAAAAAGGTGCAGCCTTTTGAGAATGATGAATTGAAATCAACAACTTTTACCGTCCCTGTACCTGTTGGCTTTCAGGAGGATTCTCTTTGCAATGTCAAGGTAATCAGCCATGAGAGTCCTGTTGGATGTGATGCAGCAGAAATAGCATACGAAGGTGAAGATGAGCATGAAGAGAATGCCTCAATTAAGAGAGAATTCTCCGACTTTAATCTCCAATACCATTTGGCCAATTCAGGTAAAGAAGAATTTGAATTCAGAACTACAAGGTTGGCTTCTTCAGATTCATTTGAAACTGAAGCAAAGGAAGAGTTTCTCAACAAAGCAGAGAAAGATGTTGATAAGGTTGTTGATATGATACAAAGTGGACATATCAGTGATCCAGGGATCGGGCGGGCTGAGTTCTGGGCTTCACCAAAGCTTAAGCGCTCTTGCTCTAATTTGGAGACAAGGGATGTGCTAAGAAATGTAGCTGCTCAGTTGCCTCCTACTACGTCTCAGTCCTTTGAAGAATTGCATGAGTTATCTGCAAGATCAAGGGACAATCCCTGTAGCCCTGCTTCTGTAATGACTTGTTGCAGTGCTGACAGAGTCATGTTGAAAAAACATTCTTCCAGTCAAGTTCTGCCATCAAGAAGCAAAAGGTTATGGTGGAAATTGTTCCTATGGAGCGACCGGAACTTACACAAACATTGGACGACAAAACCACAGCCTCTTCCTGTCACTGCTACTTTGAACCAGCTTGGTGGCTACTCTTCAGATACAATTGAGCCACATCAAGCAACGAAACTGAGCAAGGTGGAATCACCTGGATCATTTACTGCAGAGTCCTCGAACAAAGACTTCACTAGGAATTGTAATGACAACCAGAGCTGGAACGGTTTTCATATAGGAGTTTCTGGTTTATGGCCCCAGAACCAATGGGTTGCATTCCCTGCTTCATCATCATCTTTCACAAGAGTAGATGAGTGGGTGAGAGATCTTGATACCCAAATCAAAAAGCCTGCTGATGATGTGAATGGCAAAGAGGTCATAACCTTTCCGCCTTCTCCTGACACTGGTAAATCACCAGCAAGAAGCACAACCAACTTGACTCGCCGTTCAGATATCAATCTCTCTGAAGAGATTTTACATGACAATAGCGTCATTCAGACTCTCAATTCTTCCTCAACTGTTGCTCACATTTCAGGAATAGGTTTGGAAGCTATTCCAGTCATTGCAGGTTTCTCCAGCCTTCGGTCTGTCAACTTGTCAAACAACTTTATAGGTATGCTCTTAAAAAAAGTTAATGATCATTTAAGATGCTAATTAGTTTGAACTCAGATATGACCATGATTCTTGCTGTCATGGCAGCCCATGTTACTCCAGGATCACTGCCAAAGGGCCTTCACACACTCAACTTGTCAAGAAACAAGATCAACACCATTGAAGGACTTAAAGAACTAACTCGGTTGCGAGTAGTTGACCTCAGTTACAACCGCATTGCTCGAATTGGGCATGGTAATTAACTTGTGAACCTGTTTCGCAACTTTCATACAAAACCTTTTCTGGATTTTCTGAAAGACATCCTCCTTAAATAATTGCATGTAATTCTAAAAGTGCATTGTGTATTTTTATGATGCCAGGGTTGTCAAACTGCACCTTGATCAAAGAACTGTACCTTGATGGCAACAAGATAAGTGATGTTGAAGGGCTACATAGGCTCTTGAAGTTAAAAGTCTTAGACCTCAGCTTCAACAAGATAACAACAACAAAAGCGCTGGGTCAGCTTGTTGCCAACTACAATTCATTGCAAGCATTGAATCTGTTGGGAAATCCAGTTCAGAGCAACATTAGTGATAACCAGCTGCGCAAGACAGTGTGTAGCTTATTCCCTAAGCTGATGTACCTGAACAAGCAACCCATCAAACCACAGAGGGCAAGGGAAATGCTCACTGATAGCGTTGCCAAAGCTGCCATAGGGAGTGGCAGTCGGAGCTCTCGAAGAAAAACAGTAAAAAGAGCAAGCCAAGGTGGATCAACATGCTCCAGTGCGCAAAGAAGTAGTGTAGCTATTGAGCAGGAGAACAAAAATAAATCAAAGAGCCGAAGTCGTCATCACTTATCTGTGAAGTCAGCTGCACAAGCTTCTTCATCCCATTAGATTTTGCCAGTAATTTTTCTGAAGAATTCAAGGGAATTTTTCCTTTATTTCCTTTATTTTGCATTTTGACCCTAAAAACTGCTTGCTTCGGTAATTTGATTTGAGTTTGTGTTCCGTAAGTGTTAATGCATGATCTATTAATTTCTATCTTGCTCAACCTAATGGGAAAAGTTAGATGTTACACATATAGGCATGGTAAGACAAGATTAAGATTAGTAGCATGAAATTTACCATGTCCTGTCTTCAGCCCTATGATTTATCAAGGAAGGCTAAGCAGCTGCGCTCACCACACATACCATTCTCAATAAAATATGCATATCAATGCCAGAAATATACTAAATATACAGCTGGTTCATGAAAGGTGCCAATTTAGGAAGTTGAAGGCTAGTTGATGGATAAAAGTTATTTAGGAAAATAAAGTCTCCTGAAAGGTCATTGTGCAATAAAGAGAAAAAGTAGAAAGAGAAGTCTAATTGATTTTCAGATAAAAAAGTGTGATTTAGAAATTAAAGTGATGTCACTTAAACCTTCTTTGCACAGACAAAAGCCAATTGGTTGAAGAGCCCCAAAAGATGAAATCTAGGGATGCTTTTAAATGGGACTCAACTACAAGCGGAGGCTATCATCCCAGTCACAACGGGAAACCTTTTCTTCTCCCGTTTTGCACTTCCTTTCACTCTTATGGATTACGTAATAAACCCTTTTCTTGAGAGATAAAATTTAATCATTTGTTTGTATAATATCATATAAAAGGAATATAACTCAGATGAAGACTCTGAACTAAATGTGCTATGTTTCACTTTTCACCAAGTTACTATTGCATATTAATCACTAATAACAGGCAAAACGATGTAAAAAAAGAATAATTTTGCTTAGATAAAAAGCTTAACAGAGTGTCTATGAATTTTGACCACTTTAATAGTGATATTTAAAAGGTAGGAGTTGTATCACAGACGCCATTTCATTTTCTTTTCCCACTACAAAAGGGGAAAAAAAAAAGAGAAAAGAAAAGAAAAGATCTGTTTGATTAATATATTAATTGCAGAGAATACTACTACAATAGGATATTAGTTAAGTACATGGAAGTATTAGCAATACAAGTCCTGGGGTAATTTTAACCACTGTCACAGAAAACATAATTTCTAACACATCATTTCATGTGATCATGAGATTCATGACTGATTATAATCATTTGAATTGTTGAATTTAAAAGATTAGAGCTTGGGGCTGCTATGCATTTTTTTACTATATTCAATAACAGGGAAGCAACACCAAGTTTTTTTCATCACAAGATTAACATAAAAGAACAGTGCAGCATATTGAAAATAATTAATCTTTGATACCTTACATATGTACAATGCACCATTCATCTTGATCGTAAAACTCTCTGTCCCTCCAGCAGTATTCCAAGCCCATTTTGACACTGTTATTCAGCAACTCAATCCAATGATTAACCACTAAAAAAATGTCAAATCTCATAATTTCTCTCCAAATCCAGAACTCAATTCCTCTTCTTGCATTTGAGCAAACTTATAAAGCTTTTCATTGAAAACCACCTGTGGATCCTTTTCAATTAAATTCCCATTCTCATCATACCCATCTTTCAAAAACACTGCCCAGTTCATCTCTGTCCCCGCCAAATAAAAAGTCCGAGGCTGTCTCTTGAGCATCTCGTAAGTCTGCCTAGTCAAACTAAACTCCTCCTTAAACTCCACAATATGATGTATCAAAGCTCTCTTTTCCAAAGTCAAGCTCAAAAACTCATGTATAATTCCAACCCTATATTTTTCCGCTTCCAAACTCCATAAATCCAACTTCCACCCATCAGAATAAGGCGAAACCAACGGTAATGTATTCAACAAGTTAAGTTTCTTCACATCATTTTCCTCCAATCCTAAATCTTTCCCATACTTAACCGGGAACTTGAAAGCTTTCTTCACCTTATCTTCATTCACTAAAAATTCCCGCTCCAATGCACTTACAGCTAAACTCGGATCCCAGTTTACTAACTCGAGGACTTGTTTCCCATCATCTTCAACCACAAGGCGAAAATAATCAGGGTATTTCTCGATTCTGTCCCTGAAACCCTCTGGAATTCCAAATATAAGCCTTTTATGGTAAATCTTACTTAACGGAATCCGTTTATTTTTCGACATCATCAATAATTTACGGATTCTCGTGACTCGATCTTCTTCCATGGCTTCCATGATTGCTTTTTCTTCGAGGAGTAATTGGTCCATAAAATCGGTGAAGCCGAGCCACATTTTGTTGTCGGAGTGCCGGTAGGTGGTGAAGAGGAGCGGGTGGCGGAAAATGGATCGGGTGACTTTGCGGCCACGGGGGAATCCGAGTTCGCGATAGAGTTTGCCGGCATCGTCAAGGCGGAGGATTTGTTCGGGTTGTTTGGAGAGGAATTCTTTGGTTTTCGTGAGGAATCGGAAGGTAGCGTCGCGGTCGAGGAGGGATTCGAAGTGAGGGATTTTGTTTGAGTCGGGCGTCACGGATCGAGTGCGAGGAGAGTCGGGTTTGAGGCGTTTGGGTCTGTGTTTCTTGGGGGTTTTTGTTATGAGGAAAGAGGTGGAGAAAGAGCGTGGATTTAGGAATTTAGGGTTAGGGTTTAAGAGGGGTTTTGCGAGGAAGAAGAAATGCCAAGCCATGACGGTTTAATTAAGAGGTTGACTGTGAAATAGCATGAATATATATAATAATAATAATTTAACGATTTTTCTCACACTCAATCTTGTGGCATATATAATCTGATTAAGGGTTTCAACGTTGAATTGAATCGGGTACGCTTTCCATATAATCATATGCACCTCTTGATGCAGACATTGCTACATGAGAGCTCTGTCAATTATTGTATTTATGATAATTTCTATATCCATATATATTTTATACAAAAATTATATATTAAGACAAAAATAATGCAATACATTATTTAATTTGTACGGCAATATTTCTGTTCAAAATGAGTTTCCTTCCATTGAACATAAATGATATTGAAGAAAAAGAGAAATGAACACAAATTTCATCATAAATGCAATGCCAAGGAAAAAATTTTTTTTTCTATACTGCACAGCTAGTAGCACTTGCTTATTCCGTAAATCATCTTCACAATCTCAATCATGTGGTTGTATGGTTATAATGAGACATAACATGAAATTTAAAAATAAAAAAATAAAAATCTAATCCTCAACTTCTCAATTTCGCTGGTGCCACGCTTTTAGTAATTACAAAGCCCTATGAATGCCTTACGGCTACATAGGAGTTGTCGTTGGTCACATCATCAAGATTCATTTTCCTTTTTATCTACCATCTTTCTGCTTTCCTCTTTCAGTTCAAAATATATGGTGTCCCCCTTCCACGGTGGAGCTTTATGATGATTACATAAGCATGCACAAAATGAATTTGAATACCACGACTTCAACTTGGGTTTCTCGAGAAAATTGTTCTTAGCTTGCTTGTCTCTTAAAGAAAGGTTTCTGACAGATAAGGAGTCTCCCATTGCTGTTACTTTCAATTTCTATGACTCTGGCATCCCACTTCAACCGAGTTGTTAGAGGTCTAGCTAATTCAATAAGAGGAGCTGTGTCACGGATTATCACCCAACCCTGCACCAACCATTAAATCTATCACATATTAAAACATAGCTGTAGAAAATAAAACCATTGAAAGCATTGGAAAGGAACTAAAAGGAGGTGGCCTGATTTGATAATTGATAGCTTGGTTTTAGTACCTCTGGACGAAGCAGCCGGTCTATCTCAGTGAATAGGTCAAGCATGCTGCATCTCTCATGTTGACTACTCTCAAGGGATAGAAGTCCATCAGCATGCACCATATCATAAGTTCTGGGGTATGTTGGAAATGACTCACACCTGAAAGTGATGCAAATGGATCATAAGACAAATAAAGCATGAAACAAACGATGAAAGGTATATTTTGCTCAAAAAAGCATTATGGCAAATCACATCTTTACAAATATGCGTGGTTAATCAACTGTGAATATGAAGTCCAAACTTCAAACTCAAATTTCAGTGAACACATCAAATTTTAACAGACATCCTCTAGCAGAGTTTGCTTGAGTTTAAGTCTTATCAATGTTACAGGACGGAATACATTTTAAATATGTAAATTCTTTCTCCATTCACTGCAACTAATTTGATTTTACTTCAAGAGGGAAAAGTATATTACTAAGTATATTAAGTTGCTGAAAATAATTATTTTCGCAACATAGGAATTACTATAAGAAGCAGTCATATTCCATCTTCATATCAGGAATATATTAAAACAACAAAGCAAAAAATAAAAATAAAAAGTTTAGCTAGAAAAAGAGGATTACCAATCATGTAATACACCAACATAGCCCCTGTCAAGAATCAAGGGAAGGTAGTTGGGTCCACTTGTTGGGACTACGTTCATGACCCAGACAGACTTCCCTGCTTCCAGTAATGCAGCATTTAAACCACCATAGTGAGCATTCATGTCTAGCACGTTCCTGAGCATGTTATAAGGTGGAGAAGGATCCTCATCACCAGGTCTCTTTGGATGATCCGAGAATATTAGGGGTGACAGAAGAGACCAATAATTCCAAACAGCTGTTTTATAGTTTGCAGTATCCTCATTGAGTTCTTCTGAGTGTAGACCTGATAAAATATCAAAAAGATTAGCAAACAGATAAATCAGAGTGCAGTCAGAAATTTCTGTCATCATTGCTTATCATGATGGAATTGTTATCTAAAATAATCATGCAAAAACATTAAATTACCATATAGTGCTAGTTTATTCTTGTTCAAATTAGACCTAGAGGGCCACGTTGCTCTCTCCTCAATGGGAACCCATCGACGACTATGTGTTCCACCTATACAGTTTTGAAGAGGACGATAATATGGAGATTCAACATCTTGTCCTTTGCTACAGATAGAAGGACCAGAATCAGCCTTCCTGGAAACATGAATGATTAATAACAATAATAAGGACCACCTATTGCTGTCAAGTAATAAAGATTTTCATGATTTATATAGTCCAAATACACTCATTTTTTAAGGAAATTAATGTAAATCAAGCAAGAAAATTGTCTCACCGTGAGTTGTAACAACTTTTTTTACTAGTCTTTTTCCACACAACAGTTTCATCTTGTTGTGACATCAACTCCCAGCAGAGACTTTCTACAAAATCACGAACAAAGTTCCACCTTTTCTGCTTCTCCTTGTTCCGAAGAAAACTCTGAACATTGGTAAGAGGTGAAGTCCACACAAAGTATCCACCAGGCTTTAGAACTCTATCAACTTCAATCAAGAAAATACCATCTGTAACGCACATTTTAGCATAAAAGTTTAATTACAACCAGCTCAAACGCAAAAACATTGACACAGCCACACAGGACACTTTTAGGAATCAAAACATGATCACAAATTAAAATTAGCCAACTTAAAAGTTGGTGAGGGTGTGGCAAATTTGTAGGTCTTTAAACAGTAAGAAGGAAGTTGACCGTGGTATTTGCATTTTGTTAAATTAACCATCAGTTGGCAGGTGTGAACACCACCAAATGCATCAAAAAGCAGTCAAAAAGGACCTTTCATATATGGAATATTTAACAAAATTTTTCTGTCCATACTTAAATAAAAAAAATGATTCTAGCCCTAAGTCTATGTCAACACATATTGACTCTATTAACATAAGAAATTATAACATATCAGGGTAGGGAGAGGGGGATGAAAGGATGGGAAAAGAAGCAGCAAATTTTACACTAGCAAAGTTTCAAACTGATAGCTGATACCTTTTTTATCCCAGTCAATGCCACAGCGTGCACAATGTAGCATATCAAATGAAAGAGATGGATAAGGTAATTGTTTTGAATTGAAAGAGCCAATCATTGCAGGAAGGCCCCTTTCAAGAGTGAGTTGAACTTGACTGCCCGAGGACTCATAGTTCGCAATGCACATGGTTAAGAGCTGTTTGGAAAAGAGATGTGCTCCAAAGCTACCATAACCACATCCTACATCCAACATGGTTCTTACCTGCAACAGTAGCCGTAAATTCAGACCAGGCTGGGGGACTAGATACATTAACTGTTATTGATAATGCAAAAGATGCTAATGGAATGATGGTGCTGTGGAATTCCAGTATTGTTGAAAGAAGGCTTTAAGCTAATTCAGGCCTATATTGCCAAATTTGCAATGTGCAAGCCAAAGGTGGCGATTAAATGTATCATTAACAATTTACTCATGCTGTGAAGTAAATTGTAACTTTAAAAAGTAGGCCAACTTTGAAGCTAAACAGATATAACCTTTCAAGAATAAAATAGACAAAGGAAAAAAATCACAAATAATGGAACAGTTCAATTCAACAAGCAAGTTCCAAGGAAAATTCCCCCTTACCCCAGCTTGTATGAAGTTAGATTCATTTCTCAGTCCAATCATTTCAGCAATCTGATGGGAATAGTCTTCTACACCATCAAACATGAGCGAGGCTGAACGGAAAGAAATCTGCTCTTCCTCCAGCATCATCATCCTGCTATTGCATAAAGCAAGGAGTTGAAGAAACACTTTTATAAGAAAAGAATGAGGGGGATGAAGGCAGTTAGATGTGAAAGTTCACCGACAAGAGAAACGTCCACTCACCTCTTGGTTAAACTGCCTGAGGAAAATACCTCTTGACCAGTAATTTTAACATTAGCAACCCAAATAACATCTCTCCCAGTTGGCCATCTAAGAGGAATTTTATAGTTCACAGGTGGAAGAACCAAACAACTTTGCCTTGAACCATGTCCACATAGTCGATCATACTCATTACCACCAGAATAACCCAAAGCAAGATTCTCCGAAACATTAAAGCAAGGAACATAATTCTCAGACTCCTCAGGACAGAATTCTATTTCTTTCAACCTTGAAGGACCAAGCGAAAGCTCCCCTACATCCCACAAATCAGAGACAAGCTGCTCTTGAAGTCGCCTATAACCATGTAATATATGAGCCCTAGTCGACGTTGATATCAAGACAGTCCACCAAAATGATCCAGTCAGAGCAAGAATCACAATCACAACTAAACTTAACTTCAAAAATAGCATTGTTAACTTATGCCGGCTTCTTGGAGTGCCAACACTGAAGGGATCAGATGCAAAACCATTCTCAGTGACACCATATTTGGAAGGTGAATTATCCAGAAAATGTAACCTTAAAGGAAACCTGAGCGATAAATAGCTCTGATTAGAAGAACGATTTCTATCCAAATCTTCCTTGTCTGTTTGAACTTGCACTTGGGAGTCCCAAAAATCGTTGCTGCTGCCCGAGATCTGCATTCCAGATACACCTCGATGCAGAGGCCGGGACATTTTTCTAACCTGAAACCCCCAACAGTTAGCCAGAGGGGAAAAAAGAAAAGGTGAACTTTCAAGAAATAACCCAGTGAAGTTGTTAAAGTTGAAACCCAAAAAAATACCACCTAAACCACTATCTGAAACAAGCTAAACCAGTGATATTCCTCTCAAAAACGTTAAATCTTAATAAGGACAATCATGAAATGGTTTAACTTAAGCAAAGAAACGCCGCACTAAGATAAGATCAAAATTAGATATTTTCCCAATTTTAAGATACTAGATCCATAAACCCTGCTGAAAGTGAACCACTTTGAAAACAAATTTAAAACAGTGAAAGGGAAAAAAAAAAAGAGGGAAGAAAAAATGTGGCTTTTTTGAACGATTCTAAGACTGAAACAACAATAGGGAAAAAATAAAAGGAAGGGAAATTTAAGACTTGATGGAAATAAAGGAAAGTAAAGTGAATACATTTCCATATAACAAACTCTTTGAGTGAGTTCCGCCACCTTAGAGTAACAAAGGTTAAGCTCATTTCCATTCAAAATCACTTCTTTTCCATTAAAATTCACTTCTCTTTGCTACCCAATACTACAATATAATGAAAACCCGGATTGAAATTAGCAAAACCCATTTTGGATCAACCATTGGAAAATAGAAATGATATAAAACCTAACAAATTTAAAAACAGTTAGAAAACACACACAAGAAGAATAAAAAAACAGTACCTTGTTTGTAGGAGCGGAGCTGGAAATGGAAAGATGGCGCAAAACCAGCCTTAAACTCAGCGTAATTTCATCAAATGCGGATTTAAGAAGAATTTTCCATTTGTTAAAACTACAGAAGACTCTATTTTGTTCTTGTCGCCTTCCTTATTTCGAGCTCCCTTCGATACTCACAGTTAGAGTGTAGGCGACTTTTGTATCGATCCAATCACGACAGAGCTAGAGAAAAGCTGAAAAATCAATCTCTTTTTATATAATAATCGAAATAATCATTCAAAGAAAGAAAAAAAAATTGAATGAATTAAACACATGTAAAACAATTAATAAATAAAGATAGACAATGTTTTGTCAATTTTTAAACTCTCCCCCAAGCTATTATCTTCAGACAGTGTTTCTCTACTAATAAACGCGCTTAATCGCCACGAGTCCAGTTGGATCCGAACTGTAAAATTCAATTATTTTATCTTAAAACTGTATTAATCAAATCTCAAATCACATTAATTTTTCATTTAATTATTATTCAAGACTTTAGGAGAGAGAAAATTCAAAGAACGAAGTTCCCTACCCGACTATGTTGCAGGAACACTTGTTTGACTACTCAACTTGGAATATTTCACTGATGGTAAAAAAATTTATTGGGATGTCTAAAATTTCCTCTCTTTTTCTTAGAACGAACTAGACTTGAGATTTGATATTTTAATTCAAATTTTATTAGCAGTAATTTTTTTTTAGCCCTTTACTTATATGTATAAAATAATTACCTTAAAATCAATATTATTTATAAAGTTGTTAACTGAGTTTAGTGTTATCAGTAAAAAAAAAAAAAATCTTCCATTTTCCATCCCAAGTGGCTCATTTGTTTCATTTTATTATCAATCAATTAATATTACGAATTATCTTTAAGTTATAATAAAATATTTAATATAATATTTAAATTATAAATTTATTGATTAATGTGTTATTTATTTTTAACATTATTAATTTTAAATGATAACACATAATGAATAAATAATTTTTCAAATATCATATTAATTATTAAATTTATAATTTAAGTGTTACATTAAAAGATTTTTAAATTTAATAGTATATTAAACATTTTATTATAATTTAAGGGTTATTTGTAATATTATCCTTTTACTTTTTTAAAATAATATTTATTATACCAAATTAAACAAAAATATGCGTTTTCTTTTATTTTTTAATATATTTATATTTTTAATTATTTTTAATATATTTAGTTTTATTATCTATATTCAATTTTTTTAAATTTATTTATTTATCAATAACTATAATTGTTAATTTAATAAGTTGATCATATTCTATTGTAAAGTAAATAATGTATTACTAATATTTTACAAAATTGTTATCTTTATACAATATTAAAATTATTAATTTCTGTAATTATATAATATGATTATTTTAGTATTTTTAAATGATACGTAACATTTAATAATACAAAATATAGTCATTTTTCATTCCTAAAATTAACAATAGTTAACCAAATAAAATAATTTTAAATTATGAGTAATAAAATTATTGTAGTAATAAGATTGCTTTAGATATTAAATTATTTTAACAATCTTAAAATTATTAGCAATTAGCATAGGGAATAAAAGAATAAGCTTAAATGAGTAATTATCTTAAATCTACATTAAGATGTATTCACATAAGGAAAATCTTACAATATTTGAGGGTAAATATTATGAAGAGATTTGTTAATATTAATATATATAATATATAAAATAATATTTTCACTCAATACATTAAAATTCATGAATAAATTTGTCAATTATTATATTTAATACAAAATTATTACTATAAATAATATATTAACTAATTTAAAAACAATATCAAGAATAATGGTAGCAAGACAAGTATATGTGTTGATATATAATATATTTTTTAATAATAAAAAATCCTTTCATTGTTAAAATAATATACTTGTAGAATTAAGTTAGCAAAAGGTGATTTTGATACATAAAATTATGATATGATAGAATAAGATAATATTATAAATATGATTAAATTAAATAATATCATTTTATTTTATGTTTGATGTGTGCAATGATTAAAGTAAGATAATTTATTTATTGATTAAAATTATTTTTTTCAAATTTATACAAATTAAATTAATGATATAATTTTTAAGGTTATAATAAGATATATAAGTTTAATATTATAAATTAAAAATAATTCTTTTTATTTTGAGATGATTGAATCATCTATTAAAAAAAATGATAATTTTTCTTATAATCATGTTTATTTCAATTAAATACAAATTAAACGTAAAATAAAATAATTATTATATTATCTTACGTACCAAATATAATTTTTATTTATTATATTATTATCTAGTCACATCGGATAATGTGATTGGTAAAGAGATGCATTGGATCAAGATAAATTCATCAAAATTTGGTTCCATGTAAATGAGTTTGAATATTAAAAGACCAAAAATCATAGGACTTAGTATTTAGATGGCAAAAGATACAAATTTTCTCTGTTAAAATTAGTCATTATTTAAAATTTTAATATTTTATAGTAATTAATTAAGTTTTAATAAAGTTTAGATTATTATTGAATTTTTTTAATGACTTTTTTGACGCTTTAACATATTTAAATTTACCATTTTATGTGAAACTTTGGAGAAATTTTTAACTTTGGGGAAATTTTCTAGTTGTAAGAACAAAACAGCAATCAAAGTAACATGCAAACAAAGTAGATTTGCGCTATTCAAAAAAAAATAAAATTCGGAGAAGGGTCGGACGATGTGGGCTCGGATCTGCCGCGTCGCTCTGTCAGTTAGATTAAAAAATGACGTGGCAGTTAAGGAGGCGACCGCTAAGGTTCCATGCGATGCAGAGGATCTTAGCTGCTATCAATTTATTTATTATATATCTTTGATAGATTAACCCTTTATTAATTGAATTAATCCTTATAATTAAATTATAATATTTCCCTATTAAGTGTAATTCTAATGAATTAAAAGAAAATATGTTACTAAACATTATTATATCAATATGAATGTGCTGATAACTTAATATTAGTAATAATTTTGTTATTTTAATAAAAAATGTAAATTCATTAATGTTTACATGACAATTCTTAATATATAATATATTTATTTATTAGACATATATGTGCTAAGAAGATTTTTTTTGTAAATGTTTTAAATATTTACAATTACATAAAGCAAGAAAAATGGTAATCCTTCTTGTTTACACCACAACCAACTTATTTGAAATTTCAATCTTGATTTCATAATTTTTTTTGTATTTAAATATGAACTTTATTTTTAACGATATATTTTTTTTAATTAGTATCTTTTGGTGTTTGAAAATCATTTTAAATTCTGATTAATCTGTAGTTAAGTTGAATCAAACTTCATAAAAAAAAAAAAAAGCTTTCTCAAATTTATTTTTTTTATTTATAAAATTAAAAACTAATTTTTTTATCACTCGAATTAACAAATATTAATATTTTTAATTAGATTTGTAGGTCGTGCAAAATATTCCTTTTCACCATTAAGATGTTCTAAATTCTAGTATGGAAACTATGCATCGATCGGTCAGCCCTTTTTACTGCATGCTATAAGATATATATATTTTTAACTTCTGTTTATGCAAAGATTTGATGTGAGTATGGCTTATTTTTTACTCGCACCCGAATCAAAATGTTTTGATTTTAAAAAAAATAATTTTATATCATGTTTATTATTATTACTAGTATTGGATGTTAATACACAAAGATAAATTATTAAATATAATAACAGTAAAATTTTTAGATTTCAAAAATGAGATTAAAAATGTGAAATTTAAAATTTAAGGTATATTTAAAAAAAAATTAATTAAAAAATGTGAAATCATATGACTGAGAAAAAAATTTATTTTTGAAACAAAAAAAAAACCTTATTTTTAAGTAAAAAATCATATAAAGCAATCATTAAATTAAGAGTTTATATTTAACGAGTGTATAAATTTTATATATGAATAGTGAATAAAATGATATTAATTCATTAATGTATAAATATTAATTTTTAAAATAAATACATTAAAATTTAATAATTTAATAATTTTTCAAAAATTTATTTATTAATGAAAATTATCATTTCATTTATTTATAATATATAAAATTTATATATTAAGAATGCATCAAATATAAAATTTTAAATTAAATATTTAAATTTAAAAAATATTTAACAATTTATTTTATACGATGATAACAAGATAAAATATTAGCCTTCAAAATTAACGATAATATCTTATCACATTGCTCAAATCAAATTGCTCATTTAGAGGTCGATATGTTTTTATTGCATCATCAAACTAATTACGTTTATCGCATGGTTGTTTCGTTTAAAAAATGTATTTATCTGATACTAGTAATTTATTTGGTGGGAAGGCTTTTTTTTCCTTTATTTTTTTCTCATTTTCTTGATGAATTTAAGAAATTAATAATATGGTGTCCCTCCACCGAAAACTTGTTCTTCATGGTTCTCAACATCTACAGCCAATTTCAGTGAACAATACGTGCATGGATGGCGTTCCATTTCCGTAATAATTCAATCTGGCTTTCAAGTGCCACGATCACTGTCTAGGTCTCACCTTCCTTAAACATAGGAGGATCTAAAATTTAACGTTTAATGTTTATAAATACTTTCAAATTTTGTAAAATAAAACAAAACTCAAGGAAAAAATTTTGACATTTTAAAAATTTTTCTTTCAATAGTTTTTTTTTAATAAAAGAGATTATAATTTAAAATAAAACTTTATTAAAATTAAAATTTATATTTATTAGATATTATTATTTAAAAATAAATACATAAATCAACTAAAAACTCTTAAACCAATAATTCAAAACAACAACTTGTTTACGAAGGTCGCAACCAAGTGAAATACGTTTCCATGGAAACGACGTTGGTGATCTTTTCACATTAAATGCCAAAACCATTATTTTTGCACCCATTAAAACATTTTTCCTCGCAATTACAGCCTTAAATAAGTGAGATTCGTCAGCGTCGGTGAAATAATCAGATGAAATCAGGACCACCGTGGTCCATGCAGGATGTATTCTCTATTTGCCAGCAAATTTTCAAAGTCTGAGGGCACAGATTCAAAGCCTTCACACATATAAATCTAACAAAGTGCAAAATAAATAATTAAATCAAAGGGGTTTTTTTTTTTTTTTCTCTCTTCTTTAAAATAATTTTTTTTTGCTTTATATTACTTTTTTTAGTGATTGAGAATAATAAAAACGAAGTTGACACGTTTTTAGGGACATATCGAATCAAATTTTAGTTTTCTTTATTAGATTAATTAATATAATAATATGTTCTCTTATAAA